GGATGATAAGTGCACCACAGCCTCATTTTTAATTGCATTTTCCCCCCTTACATCCAAACAGTAAGTTGTTTCAAACACCTAGAGAGGTGGTCTTAAAGTCCCTTGCTGTCTCTCTCAGTGGTTACCTCACTCTAGCTACAGGTTCTGCTGAGGTCAATGTTGGTTGTTGATTTCATTCCAGTGTCAGGCTACCTTATACAAGGATTTCTCTTCCTGCACACTGGTTTGTACTGAGAACCTACTATCTGAAATGCCTGTCAGTCTTGTGTGGTTTGTAAAGAAACAAGTTCATTTTGAAATTACAGGCATATTTTGGAGAAATTGTAGGTTCAGTTTCAGACCACCCCAGTAAAGTGACTATCACAGTAAAATGAGTAGTCATCTTTTTGCTTGTGGAGAGTCTTGCCTTCAATTTGTAAAAAACACATCTGTGAGGTGCAGTAAAGGGAAGCACAACAAAACGAGGTATGCCTGTAGCTCTAGAGTGAAGAAGCACTCAACTTCTTAAGAACAAGAGTGCCAATAAACTGGCATTAATGATAGCTTACTCTAAAAGTACATCTGAACAAAAATAATAATAAAATAAAAGTTCACCTGCTACGTACCTTTTCAAGTTCTCTCATATTCTGTATGTTCAGTGGCTTCAAAGCAAATGTTTTCATTTGTACAGGTTCTGAAAAATGATTAAAGTTCCATAAACTAATATTCTTTGTTCCAAAGTGAAAGGGAGATTAACAAAATGTAGTTACTTCAAAAACCACTGAAAGAACATGTGGTTCTTGTTCTTATTAAAGTCTCCAAAATAAAGAGAAAAGCAGAGCCTCTTCAAGGCTTAGTAGGCAACATTTTGAGCTGGTGGCCAAAGGGTTTCAAAGGTAGAGTTTCTTGTTATTTCTAAAGGTGTTTTTAAAAAACAATTTATAAAAGAATAAATGATTGTTTTTATTATTCTTTAGTAATTCCCCATCTCTATTTCTAACCTCTTTGAAGTTCTGCTTTCTTTATTTTCTAGTTTCTCAGTTCAGTATTCCTTTCTGGCAGATGGGGTGACAGGGGCTGTCTTTTGCCTATAAACTATTGACTCTGGATTTGAATCCTAGTTCTAATACTGCCTGTGTGAATTTAAGCAAGTTACTTAGCTCCATGTCTCAGTTTCCTTATCTGTAAAATGAAAATAATAATAGTACCTTCCTCAAAGGGGTGTTGAGCAGGACTGAGTGATAGTCTATGTTAACATGGAACTCCCTTCTTTTAACTTGGACTACATTCTTTTCTTTTAAAGAAAAATGGCCCGGCCGGGCGTGGCTCAGCGGTTGAGCGTCAACCTAGGATCCAGGCGATCGGGGTTCGATTATCCGTCAGGGCACATGCCTGGGTTGCGGGCTCGATCAATGACTCTCTCATCATTGATGTTTCTCTCTCTCTCTCTCTCCCTCTCCTGTCCTCTCTCTGAAATCAAGAAGGATATATTTTTTTAAAAAAAGAAAAAAATGTTTCCAGATATGTTTTAATAAACTTTTGGAAATCTAGTAAGCCTGATTTTCTAGACATTTCATTTCGTTATTAACTCGATCCTTTAGTTTTAGATGATGTTGCAGTGCTAAGTTCCCTTCACAATTTAGACTCAAATAACTTGAGGCCATATTTTTGTTGTTGTTGTTATTACATACAAGAGTAGAACAAGAGAATCCTTCAAATTCCTCTGCTGTGAAAGCAAGAGGGTACCGGGAGACCCAGGTGGAGTTAGTCAGGTGAGATCCAGTTGCCATTCTGTAATTGGAGGATGGTTTTGCATGTTAAATGTTGACAGTGTATTTTTCCACAGGAGCACTGGGACAATCCCATCTTTTTGTTTTTAAGAATGTGGCAAGCATTTTAGAAAATTGGCATCTTGCACTACTGCTTTCGTTCTGTTTCTACCTGAGGAGCAAGTAGTGGGAAAGAGCCTTGTGTCTGTGTGACATGGTAGAAATCTTCTTGAGTTTGGATTCCACAAGCCAGGTTCACGTCCCAGTTTTGCATCTCTTATATCTATGACAAGGGACAAGTCATTTTATCTCGCTGATGGCTCTTGCATTTGTAATATAGATCTAAGAAAACCTGCCCTACTGAATTCCCAGAGCTCTTCAGAGAGTCAAATGTGCAACAGCACCCTTTGAAGACAATGTGGCATTATTGTTATTGCAGTCATGTGTTATATAAGCTGTCATTATTTGGAGAACTGGTGTTAGAGGGCAGCATCCTTCCCATTCTTGGCTTATCTCCCCCATAGCTATAGGTGTGGCTTCTGCCTTACTCTCCTTCTGTCAGCATTGAGATGTGCAAGTGTTTTTATTGTCTCTCTCAAATGAACCTGAAGCCATTGGTACACCTTCCAAGCTTCCATTTTCTTTATTCCTAAAATGATAGTACTGTATAACCAATAATCATGGGGCAATAGCAAGGCAATCTCTCCATCATAGAATATTGCCTGCCTTTTTCTGCAGTGTCTCAAAATGGAAGTCTTTTCTTTTTCAAATAAACACCTTACCTTAGCTCCTCAATACAACTTGAGGCACTGCCAAGTTCCTCCACACATACTAGACTGGATGATGGCCCTCTTGGGGTTGGGACAGGAAGAAAAGGACTTGATTGCTCTCCAGGTCCGCACTGCCTTGCTCAAACAGAATCGGTGCCGAGTGCTCTTTGTTACTTGAATTTGTTTCTCAGTATCTTGAAAGGACTCCATAAGTAGCTCTTGGAAATTTCATGTACTTATATTAGTTTAGTATTGTGTTCCTCGACTCTTCATCTTAATATCTAACACCTATGTATTTCTGTATTCATTTTTTCGTCTTCCAAACTTGTAATCAAGACAGCTGAAGTTGGAGACGTTGTTTTGGACAGGTAAAACTTAACATCGCCCTCTTCATCAGCAGACATTTACTAAACATTCTTTGACTTAAACCAGGCAAGGAGGGATAGTTTAGAATTGTTTGGGTGGGTTAATTTCAACAAATTATGTTGTCTGTCTAAGAATTATATTCTCTGACTGCAAGATGAAACAACAGAGCTCAGGCTTGGTCTTTCTTTCCACGGTCAGTTAGCAAATGAATAAAAAAATTCTTTGGGTCCAGCACTGGGAGAGGTCTCACACATTGCTTTCCCACCCTTTTCTTCCCAGCTTCTGGATTTTTGGACTATTGTCACGAACAGTTTCCAATTAGATTTGTGTGGCTTTTTGCTTCAATTGTTGGTATGTTGGGGCTGGGAAGGAGGAAGGGAAATTGAAGGGTAATAATTGAAAGTAAAAAGAAAAGTAACTTGTTTGTAACTCCTCCAGCTTGGGTGCCCTTGCTTGCAGACCTTGACAGTACAGTGATGCCCTTTCTTTAGTTTGTGGTCATTGTTATATGTTGCTATCACATCCTTGAGATTTTTGTGAGAAGGAAACATAGTTTATTTCCCAGAGCCTCTTACAATGGAACAGATCAGGGTGTCCTATTTTCCCCTTTGTGGGAGCTCTGGAGGCAGAGGTGGGTCCTGAAGGGGATTCTTAGCATTAGGTGGTGATGCTTGCAATGCCCTTGTCTGAACTTTAAGTTCCTTTATGGCCCTAAGATGATTTAGGTGGGGACTGAAGAGAACTGGGAATGTGTTGTCAGGGTTCATTCCAGCAGGGCTGCAATTGACCTGAGCTCTTTTACTGAAATAATAAATGTCCCTCCACAACAGTGACCCCTTGCCATGACACATCAGTACTTTTTGTGCATCACAGTGAGAAGGAAGACTTACACTTGGTTTCAGTGAGACCCCAGAAGGTTGCTGCTCTTGACACTGAGTACACATACCCAGGCAGGATATAAGAAACCTCAGTCAAGATTCCATTTCAAGCTTCCTAGTCCAGAAGTGCTCCTCGCACACATGGGTGGTTCCCTTCTGAGAGCAAGTTCGAATCCCTACTGCCCTCACAGATAGAAGGAATTGGAGCTGGCCCTCACCTCCTTGTAACCCTCATTGCAAGACAGAATAACTGATTTTTGATAGTTGAGGCTGAGTGTAACCCTGCTGGCCATTTCCTGTTATCAACTCTGAATTGATGTGATCATTCTTCCAGAAGTTCCTATCACTTCATGATGCCAAACAGTTTTTCCTTGTTGATAAAGAGTATCCTGATGCCCCTGCTCCTCCTCAGCTCCAGGGAGTTTAGGGGACATGGAAAATCTTAGCTGCCCCACCCAGACCTGCACAATTAGAATCTGCATTTTAATAAAATCTCCACCCAAGTGATCTGTATGTAAATAAAAGTGAGAAGCTGGGCTAAGTAGCATTTCACGTCCTGGCTTCCCGCACTGTCCATTAGGAAGATAATTCGTTTCATATGTGTAATCCGTTTTCCTAGTAGCTATATTTAAAAAAGTGAAGAAACAGATGGAATTAATTTTTATAATAGATTTTTATTTAACCCAGTATATCCAAAATATCATTTTAACATGTAATCAGTATAATAATTAGTGAGATGTCTTCCCCATTTTCTGTACTAAGTTGTTGAAATCTGGTATGTACTTTCCATTTACTGCACCCCTCAATTTGGACTACTCATATTTCATGTGTTCTGGAGCTACATGGCCTAGTGACAGCACAGTTTGGAGAGATACATTTTGACCTTGATGTGCTGGTGATGTTAGCAGATTTGCTGGCAAGGCCACTACCGCCTCCGTAAAACCTTGTGTTAATGTTCGGTGTAATCTGGGCCAAGCCCTTTGTCCAGTGCTATGACAATATGTCTCATTTGAATCCTCACAACATACCCACTGAGTAACAGAGAGTTCTTTTCTCCGTTTCAGTTTGGTAAGCCGGCTTAAGAAGTCACCATTGGTATACATGTGAAATACATGCATCTTTCTTGGGAGCATCTTCAAAGAACTTGAGGAACTCCTTCTTGGGTTCTTCAGAGAGAGCCCAGGCTGAGCTGGAGAACCTGGTGGTTTGCCATGACGACTGGTCTTTAGCTCACCTAGAGAGCTTTAACAACCTGCTGACCGGGCCCCACCCACAGACCTTCAGGTTTATTTGACCTGGGGAAGATCAGACATCTGCATTTTAAAGTGCTTGGGTGATTCTGGAGTGATGCTCACGAGCAGTCCCCAACCTGACTGCCCTGCTAATCACGTGGATTTCAGGTTGAAATGCAGATTCGGACTCAGTGGGTCTTCAACTGTTGGAGAACCCTTCTCAGTAGCAGTAAGGTCCCAGGTGATGCTCTTGTGCTGCTTTGACTCCCACTTTGACTTTGAGCAGCCAACTTATCAGAATCACCTGAGGGCATGGCCCAAATGACAAGTTCACTAGCAGCCAGGTTGGAGTGTCTGATGCAGTAGGTTTGGGGTGGGGCCCAGGATCTGTATTTGAGAGGACACAATTTTTTCCATATTTCACTAGAAAGTATTATACTTACTTTAGGTTTTGTGTAGGCAAACGTCTAGTACACACATTTTTTTCATAAGTAGATGTTGAATTTTATCAACTCCCTTTTGTGCCTTTATGGAGATATGTTTCACTCCCCTCTTTAAACCTGTTAATGCGTGAGCTGTTAAAAGGGATTTTCTAATATAACTTTGCAGCATTAATCAGGTTTGTATTGCTGGCTTGATCTCAATGGGTTTCTTACTGCTGGATTTGATAGTATTTTCTTCAGGATTTTTACATCTGTATATGTGAGTGAGATTTGGCTTTAATTTTTCTTTTCTGTGCTGTCTTTGTCTGGTTTAGTATTCTTTTGCTAGCCTTGTAAAGTGAGTTGAGAGTACTGGATTCCCTTTGTCTGGTCTCTGGAAGTTTGTATAAGATTGGAGTTACTTGTTACTTGCATGTTTGGTAAGAACAAGCCCCTAGAGCCACCTGGGCCTAGTGTTTTGGTGTGGGAAGATTTTTAAACTACCAGTTAATATCTGCCATATCTGTAGTTACGCCTGTCTTTTCATTCTTAAATCTTAATATTGTTTATTTGTGTCTGCTCTCTTTTTTCTTGATTAGTCTTACCAGAGGTTTGTCAATTGTGGTTATGCAGTATGAGGTTTGTCAGTATATGGAAATAAATTAGCATAATTATATTCTGGTTATTTTGATTAATTTTAGTGAGTAAAAACTTCATATGACTTTAAAGTCAAATTTATATCAAGGTATATTCTGAGAAGCTTTACTTTTATCCCTGTTTCCTGCCAGGCATACTGTTCACCCCCACCCTTCCCAATCAATATCATTAGTTTTTAATGAATTCTTCTGTGTTTCTTCATTTGCAAATTTGAGCAAGCACGTACACACACATACACATTTGTATTCCCTCCTTTTCTTACACCAAAAAAGCATACTATATACACTATTCACCTTGCTTTTTTCACTTAAAATATCCTGGAAATCACTCTTCATTTTCTCCTCCCTTTTGTCTGGATTTATTCTACTGTTTGGACATTTTAAAATATAGTATTATTATTTATTTCTAGTATAGTCTCACTTCAATTGTGATTATTTCATTCACTTGTGAGTTGTTTAGAAGTCTATTTTTAAATTTTCAAATACATTTTCTAGGTATTTTTATTGTTATTTTTTTATCCTCACCCAAGGATATGTTTTTTATTGACTCTAGATAGATAGATAGATAGATAGATAGATAGATAGATAGATAGATAGATAGATAGATAGATATTGACTCTAGATAGATTAGATAGATAGAGAGAGAGAGAGAGAAACATCAATGTGTGAGAGAGAAACATCAATTGGTTACCTTCATACGTGCCCCAACCTGGGATTGAACCCACAACCTGGGTATGTGCCTTTAACAGAAATCAAACCCACAACCCTTTGGTACATTGGACAATGCTCTAACCAACTGAGCCACAAAGGCTAGGGCTCTAGGTATTTTTAAAACTGATTTCTAACTTGACTGCATTATGGTCAAAGAATGTGGTCTTGAATACTGGTAGTTCTTTGAGATGTGTTGAGAGTAGGTTTATATAGTATCTTGTGGTTTTCTTCTTTGACTTAGCAGAGTGCTTTTTGTTTCATCCACGTTGTCTCGTTTATCAGCAGTTGGTGACTCTCTGTTGCTGAATAGTATTCTTTGTCCATTTCGATGAACATTTGAGTCGATTCCAGTTTTTGGCCATTATGAATGTAGTGCTATGAATATTTGCTTATAGGTCTTTTATGTGGACTGAAGTATTACATTGCTGAGACATATACTTAGTATATATTTAACTTTATAAGAAACCATCAAACTATTTTCCAAAGTAGCTGTGCCATTTTGCATTTCCACTGTCTAAGTAAAGTCTGAGAGTTCTGCGTGGGCCATATCCTCACCGATACTTGTTATCTGTCTTGTTAAATTGAAGGCATTCCAGTGGTAGTGTAATGGTAACACATTGTGGTTTTAATGTGCATATTCCTATGATTAGTAATGGTGAGTATGCCTTCATGTGCTTATTGGCCATTCATATATCTTTGGTGAAGTGTCTGCTTAAATATTTTGTCTGTTTCTTATTGGGTTGTCTGTTTTATTAAGTTATAAGAGGTCTTCATACATTTTGGATACAGACCTTTATCAGATATATGATTTGCAAGTACTTTCTCGCAAACTGTGATTTATCCTTTCATTTTCTTAACTGTGCCATTGAAAGAGCAAAGATTTTTCATTTTGATAAAAATTTAGTTTAGTTCTGGCCAGTGTGGCTCAGTTGGTTGGGCTTCATCCTGTGCACCAAAGGGTTACCAGTTTGATTTCTGTCAGGGTACATATCCAGGTTTCTGGCTGAATCCCC